TTGGTTACCACTTACTTAGAGATATAATCTAAACAGTTTCTTTACAGTATAAGTGACATCAAGGTGTCATGTTTTTGAGAGAATGGTTTGTTTGCTTTTTCTAGTTTTTATTAAGCCACAGTCAAGATTTAAAGCGGCTGAAAATCTCGATTTTTCAAACTTTTCCGGCTGTTGCCATAGCAACCGAGACACATAGCAACGAAATGTTGTTTGATATTTGTTTCTGGTGTCAAGTACTAAGCATGGGTGAAGTTTCATCAAAATCGGTGACCATGCGTGGCAACGAAGTTTAAGTGGTTACAGAGAATGGCTATTAATTACTGCTGATTTTGTTGTTCGTTTTGTCATTTTTTTTTAAGATTGAAAATCTTGCAAAATTGTTAAGTCGTACGAAAATTAGATCATCAGAAAGTTATCTCCCTTGCCTTGAACAGCATTTCAACCAATGAAATAATTGAAAATTTTCTCATCATGCATTTTCTACCAATCACAAAAGAGAGGAAGTGCATAGTCCGAAGACTGTAAAAAACTTCAACTATACAATACCGTCTTCCAAGGAAGACGGTAATAAGTATAAAGGAAAAGAACAAAGTAATGTTGTGACGTATGTCATGCATTTTAGTTTTAAGAGTATTCTTGATTTTCCCAAAATATGCAAGTCCTTCGGATATGCATTTTGTCATTTATGCATACATGTATATAATTTATAATTTGGATTGATTTTCGATACTTGCAAACCAAATTAAATGCTGAATTCACAACCTACCAAAGGTACAATGCCTTTAGTACTCACTAACATCGTTTTTATTGATAGTTTATAGAAATTTACAGTCCGATGAAAATATTTAATCATACAGTCGAGTTTTGTTGTCATTTCGTGCATTTTAAAATCTTGCAAGATCTGTATCGAAATGTGGAGTGATACTTTCTTTTGATCGATATTGGTGAGTACTAGGGGCATTGTACTATTGATAAATTGTCAGTTCGGCATTTATTTCGGTTCGCAAGTATCGAATAGGCTCCAATTGGAGACGGCGAACTTTTCAGTTTTCACAATGGCGCTGATTCTGACGATTTCCTGTCACGTAAAATATCAAAATCGTCAAAAAGTTTGGAAAACAGATATTTCGGACTACATGTATATGTATTAGTTCGTATTCACTTATGATTTGGGATCATCTAATATATCCCATTCACTGTAACTCACGTTGCTATTCTAAAACCATGAGACTCCTTAAAGCATTGCAACGAATTTAATTGTTAATTTAAAAATCTCATCTCTACAGAAATGGGTGTGTCATGAAGTAAGGATCGATTTACATTCGATAAGAATACCTTATTGCAACGACCCATTCAAAAGAATACTGCATCACTTCAGTGTGCTCCAATGTATTTTAACACCACATAGCGACACGGCACGTTGGTTGTAGAATGCATCATTTTTAATCAAGAAAATAGAATTAAAATTCCTCTTTTTGGACAACACAATCACAACTGGTAATTTATAATTAGGATATCAACAAAGACTCAATCACAACGATTAAGTAAATGGCGGGGGGGGGGGGGGGGGGGGCATGGATATACATGAACAATTGAAGCATCTTATACGTATAAGAACAAGTATCTAAACTCACAGGGAAAACTATAGGTGCTGTTATAAAACGGTAGTCCCTGTTTATGAGTATTTGAATTTATTGAATATTCTCTGCTTTATATGACAGGTGCGGATCCAGAAATTTTTTCCAGGGGGGGTCCACCCCAGTCAGAAAAAAAATCCAATCCCAGAAAAATTTCTTGACAAGCAAGGGGTGACTTCTATTGCCTCAAATCTTTCACTTTTCATACCCATTTCACACATATTCACGTTTACCAGAGGGGGGGGGTCAGCGTTTTCCAGGGGGGGGGGGGCCTGGTAACTTTTTTCTTGTTTTAGTATATACATTTTTTAACCTGGTAAATTCCAGGGGGGGTCCTGAAACACCCCCCCCCCCCCCCCGATAGATCCGCGCATGTATGAAATCGTAATGAAATTACAGAATTTAATGAAGTTATTTTGTTTAAAAATGGAGTTTTCAAAAAGATTTTTTGTGCATGTGTGTGAAAAAGGATGATAAAACTTAGGCCTATGATTAGAACTTGAAGAATTATTGTCAAAACAATAAAACTTACTGTTTTTAAAACAGTGAAATTGCTTTACCTTAAAAATTTTACCTATCAAAATATCTGTAAATGGGTGGGGACAATCTTTTTGACTGAATCTATGCACACCCTATTAACTTCTCTAAATCAACCCCTCCCTAATTCAAGTGCTGCCCTGCTTTTGCTACGTTATAACACAAAGTTATAAAAAATAATCGTATGTCATTGTAAAAAAAAAAAATATGTTGTCTCTTTGGTCAACTCCTAAACACGCACCTTATGTACTCTGTCTGATTTTAATACTTTTATCGGGTAGCACATAGTGTACACGCATTAGTAAACATACTGGGTTTGTTTCAAGTTAAATCTGGCATTTCAGTTTACCAGTATAGTATTGATATTGTAGGGGGTCACAATGGCAGAGTTCATAGTTTTTCTTCCGCGTCAAAAGAATTTCCCAGGGTTTGAAACAAAATACCGAATTAGTGTTCTAGCATGACCCCCCTCCCCCCGACCGCGTTCCTCCATTCTAAGCTTCACCCCCAAGTTAAATAATAATTCAAAGACTAACACAGAAAGTTAAGAAAATGGATCATGTATATAAAGAAAAAGAACACAATAATGCAGTGAAGTATGAAGAATTATCAAGTATTCTAGTTTTTGAGTAATCTTGATTTTACCAATATCTAAGTCCATTCTGAAACACTTTTTTCATATAAACATATAAGAAATACTCAGTATATAATTTATCTTCCTTTGGTTTTAGTCTATTACTTTTAAGCATAAAAAATACTTACATGAAGTTGTTCTAACTACGTATCCCTTACTGTTCTACACCCTTCTTACTTCCCCGCGATGTCAATGACTTCGATATCTTATTTGTGTGGTTATATTTTAAACCCCAGTTATTATACAGCGATACGGTCTGTTTATTGTTGAATGCACAATTTTTAATCACAAGGATAGAAGTAAAATTCATTTTTAGACAGTTTCACCACAACTGACCAATTTCAAAAAATCAACAAATACTCGAATGTAAATTAGGTTAAAAAAAAAGAAAATTACAAAGATTTTGGTAGAGCTTTTGAGGGTATATAATAATAAAAAAAAAATAATTGAAACAATTATATAGTGCACTTAACATAATAAAGTAGATGTTGTGATCTGTACATAGATTTTTGTATTTAAATTGACTCTCCAGACGAGTCTTTAACCCATGGGCCTTTTATTTAAATTTTCTTATGAAATATTGAAATGAGGAAAAGTTTTCAAGTTCTAAGTTCATTTAAACAACATAAGTCGGGAGCAGGGGAAACACGTTCCTCTAAAACATGAGAGGAGGGTAAGGGTGCCATGGAGGATTTAATTTTAACGATAGGTCGTATTTGAAGAGTTCTAACAATAAATACTCGTACATTATCAATCTGAAATTATTGAATTTAATGAAGTTATTCTGTTGGTATTATGGAGTTTTCGAAAAAAAAAAATTGTGTAGAAAAGGGAGGGTAGAATTGTATGACCCATTATAAGGAACTTGTTGAATAATTGTCAACACAATGAATATTATTTTTTTTTACGTCCATAGCAATTCTGAAAGACCTCACAAACAATTAAATAATAGAACAGCTCTTTTAGCCACCTCCTTATATAAAACTAAGCATGAACATAGGGATAATATCATAAACATATATTTAAAAATTAGAAAAACTGTCAGGTATCGTTTTCACTTCAGAAGCTCAGAGTAACACTTGATGTATCATAATAAGATCTGATAAACTTTTTGAGCCTTTTTATTTTGTGATTCGATAATCAGAACAACTTTCTGTATTGTGTGGAATTTATCATTAATTCAATTTTCGGGGTTGGGCGAGTATACTGAAAGCTTCTGAAAACCATTAAATACATGTATATGCATATGTAAACGATAATGTAAAATTCCCATCCCTAATATCAACTCTTGCGTGCATATAATATACTTTTGTGAATTTCATGTAAAAAAAAAATGAGGAAAGGCATTTAATATCTAGGTAGCATTGAAGTGATTGCCTAGACACCAATAAAAGGTAACAGATAAGAAACTCATTATTTTCTTCTCAATCAAGTTTTGTAACTTTGAACAAATAAAACATTCTGGTGTTATAAAGCAGGGTTATCCTTATAGATGAATTTCTCTTAAAAATTCAACTCTAGAGTAGGATTTCCCCGGGGGGAGACATCCTATCCGACTTTCCCTGTGGCAATACTTAATCTAGAATCATTTTCCCCTTGTATTAGAGACCAGATTGGACACCCTCCATAACTTTATAATATGATTACATGATAATCAGGCACATACATGTAGCATCAGGCGGGGAGGTGGAACCCCGGGCATCCTTTTTATCCAGACATAAGATTTTACTATAAGAAATGTTCAAATCCCCCCACTACATTTGGTGTTGCAGTATAGTCCGACAAGGGTAAAATAAGGGTAATGTATGATAAGGGTAATGTACATGTAGTATTTGATTTAACGCCCATTGAAAATAGGCTTTTCGAGTTTAGGTTATCCCCCCTTTTTTTGCTAGTCAAGTTTTTTCTTCCTCGGGCTGCCCCCCCCCCTCTCTCTCTTTCAAAATCGATGCTATATCATTTGAAGACTTGTCCATACTGTAAAAGAAAGTATGGGACAAATACCAGTAGATAGGCTTTAATTGACAATGTCCATAATTAATGTTATTATTGTTAATATAATAGTAAAGATTTAATCTCGGTAAGAACATGAGTGGAGGTATCAACCCCCCAACACCACAACCCGATGCTATGTGCTTGTAAGTTACACATATGTGACTTAAAAATTAAAAAAAAATATCGTACTAACTTACCTTTCAAAGCAAGAACTATACGTAAAAGAAGTACCTATCTTTCAATTTTCAATCACTTCACATTCTGCCATGATATCTGAAAATTCTGAAGACTGTTGTCATCTTGACAATTTTTATGCGTTTAAACTCCTGTTCAAATCAATGGCCAGATTACTTGGCGTTTTTTATCGCTGTGTTACCCTCCGATATTTATACTTACAATAAGAAAATGTTATTGACGGTTTTGAAAATTGTATCTCTACGTACATGATTTAGTTTTGCTCTTCGTGATCGAGTTTGAGTATCTTCTAACCACGGGTATTGATCTCAATATTGTTCAGTGTGAATATAACAATTAAGTTAATCAAGTCATGAATAATGCAAAAAGTTTAAGATCGCATTTCGATCGCGAATTGAAAAGGAACCGAGTATAAAATGCTATCCTAAATTAACACTAACAATGCAGCTACTCATGCATGTACACAAGTTTGTTAAATGTTGTACGTGATACACCGTACCCCCTTTATTGCTGGATACGGTACATACTGTATACATAAAGTAAAGTTCTTTAGACTTTTCCAATATCTCAGTCAATTTTATTTTTCTAATCTGTTTTTCATAACGTCAGACATTCTTATTTAGAGTTGGCAGATGGTCGCAGAGTTTACGTTGATATTAAGTTGATTAGAGTGGAAATTAGATATAAAACTAAAAGATATAATTATATTTGCAACATAAGTACATCAAAGGCGTCGGAACCCCCCCCCCCCCGGGGGGGATAAGGTAAAGAATAACATTGCATTGATTTATTTCAAAGTATACAGTTGTGTGCCAAAAGTGAAGATAATTTTATTTTTTCTCTATATATTTCATTGAAAACAATATTTTGTAAAATCGCTGGTATGACAACATTTCTTGACAGATTTTATAAAAAATTTCGTGATAATCTAAGAAATTGTTGTAGTTAAAAAAAATAATAGTTTTTATCTGATAAGCATTGATAATTCTAAAATATTGTAATTTAAGTGTGACATGAATTTCTAAGTCATATACTCACAATGAATTAAATAGTCAACATTGATCTTGAATTTTAGAACTGATGTTTAGTGATGAACTACATTTTACCTCATATTAAACGTGTAATGATCTTTTAAAGAAAGATAACTACACATCTTCTGGTTTAAGTACTGAAATAAATAATTAAATTGGACAAAAATTGACCATTTACCTATGATTTTACAAAATGTTGTTTTCAATGAAATATATAGAGAAAAAATAAAATTATCTTCACTTTTGGCACGCCACTGTATAATAAATAAATAAATTAGTTAATTATTTAATTAATAAAATAAATAAATAACGCCTTCATTGGAGGATTCCTTTTTCCATCGGGTTTGCTATGCAGGGTAAATAAATAACAACATGGCTGCGCCCATGCTTATTTTCGATTTGACAGTTCCATAAATTTTTTTACAATTTCAGGTTAACTAATTTCTCTCACAATCTTCATTTTGATATGCAGTTTGCTGGTAATTTCGGTAAGTGTTTTTTATCTGTTCTTTACGAATAGAATGAAGTTATTTTGCTGATTACAACATACACATGTAAGAACAAGCTTTTAGGAACTTGCAACTTGAGATTCTCCTCTGACTCTTATCCCTGCTTTTTATATTATGACGTGTGCAGGCCGGGGCACATGTCACAATATATCAAACAGGGATTAGAGTCCCGGAAGAATCTCGGATTAATGAAATGCAGACTCCAATTTGATTTTCTTTAATCTGAGGGCTGCATAGCACATCAAGCCTTATTACGAACACCCTTTGACTAGTAGTTACTAAGTTAGTCATTTTTTCCCCCAAATTTTGAATCATGGAGTTTAATATGAAAATTTTGCTCAATACTACTGAATAAGTAAGTCCATTACTATTACAATATTCTCTAACAGGTCCAGCACAATACTCTAATATAGATATATAGCTTGATAAAGCTATATAGCTTTATCAAGGTATTACCAATACCTTGATCAACTTGAAGGTATTTTATGTAATGAAAATTCAAAAAAAAACTTTAAAATTAAATACTGAAAGTCGAGTTCTGAGTTGTTGTCAGTAAATTCACCCATGCTTGTAAAGTACTCAAACACAAAGAAATCAGTATAAATCATGTTGTGTGAGGAGACGTTCTTTTATGCTGTCTTTTTTATACCAGAGTGTTTTTCATGAACGAGTAGACACACTGACAAAAACTTAGAACTCAACTTTCAGTATTTAATTTTTAAAGAATTTTTTTTGAATTTTCATTACATAAAATACCTTGATCAAGGTATTTGTAATACCTTGATAAAGCTATATAGCTTTATCAAGCTATATACCTTTATCAGGGTATTGTGCTGGACCTGTCTAATTTAAGACAGTTAGTGGATGGCAGCTAGTACATGTACGTGTTATGCCATCACCAAACCAGGCTGGGGTGGGGTTAGCTGCAGATCTGTAGCTCTCCGAAAAAAATATATTGATAGACCGGAGAGCTACAGTGCCACCCATTGAGAAAACTGTATATTTATTGCGCACAAAAGAGTGCTCTGTTTCTGTATTTATTTCTCCATGTTTTTAAAACTGTAATCTCAAAATATTACTCACCGTGTGTTCCTTACATATTCTTTCACTGTTTCTACAACCAAACATTCTACATAGTTATTGTTAATAGTCCTCCTGGTCCTGATATTGTAATCATCGAAAATTTCGCATATTTATACTGCCATTTTGGTTTCAAAGATAAATCGGTCCAACATGCTTCTTTCAGATGTCAACTAAGAGAGTACTTGATAGAGGAGTAAGGATTCTTTTTAATCTAGCTTTTTTTGCAATTTAGGTAAGAATTTGGAAGAATTAATCAAGATCCGAGCGCACTTTTTTGTGCGCAATAAATATACAGTTTTTTCAATGGGTGGCACTTTAGCTCTCTGGTCTTTCAATATATTTTTTTCGGAGAGCTACAGATCTGCAGCTAGGGTGGGGTGTATCAATGAGAATGGAAATTACATTCAAGTATTTGAATATGAAGTACCTTGTGTACAGTGAAATTGTTTTATTTAAATGAATAATTTTCGTGTTTAAACATGACCTAGCTGCAGTGCATTGTCTAGTGAAGCATCTTCAGTTCTACATTTTATTTTTATTTTTCAGAATAAATTTAGCAAATCAAAATCTGGTTGACTACTCTATAAATATCATTTTCACTAGCCAAGGGTTTCCAATTCGAAAGCTACTCTACAACATTGTATAGTAGATTTCAGATTGGAAACCCTAGGCTAGTGAAGGTCTAAATATAAGAGTGCACAGGAACATGGCGTCAATTTATACAACAGTGACTTTGATCTATATTTGAAATCATTTCTGATTTCAGGTTTGGCTTTAAGGAAAGGAATCGAGATGACAGCCATGGATGACACAGACTTTATTTTGAATTACATGACTGAGATGGAAGCAGTAGCAGAGGACATTCTGGCCAAAAAGCAGCACATGATAGAACTGGACAAGAAAAGACAAAAGACGAGAGAAGCCATCAGGTTAACTAAGTGAAGAATTAAACATTGAAAAAAAAAATAATTTAGTTTATGCAGCTACGTGATAATCATAGAGGAAAGTACAACTAACTTGAACAGTTGTGCAATACATAATTATATTTTTAAAAAATAGAACAAAATATTGTAAGCCAAACTACTTTTCACATCTTTTATCTATGGTACTTTAGTTTGGAATCCATCAACAACTATGTATTTTTGCAACTGTGACAACATTTTATGTTCATACATAATTGAATAATTGGTTCATGGAAAATTGGAGAAATATTCATGAATAAAAGAAGTTTGCAAAACTTGCATATATTTTTCATTCATGAATAAAAGGTGGTCTTCATTGTGTTGAAATCTGGAATACATTTCTTATGTAAAGTATCCAGATGTCAGATGATTGCTTTTGTGAAAATATGATCATCACCTGTAGCAGATTTATAGTCTATTGACTCAAAAATTTAGGGTTATCATTACATAAGTTTTAGCTCTAGAAAGGTACATAATCTCTGAAAATTACACAAGGCACTACATGAAATAGCATGTAGTCTGTAAGATTAAAAAAATAAAATATTTCAATTTCATTGAAGTTAATAATGAGATTACATTTTCAAAAAATAAGCCCAAAACTTTTGATTTTTTATGATATTTCAATTGTGTTTAAACACCACATATCCAAAATAATGACTGTATTTCAATGTAACCCATAGCTTTTGAGGCTTTTTATAGACTGGAGTTTTAAATTCAGCCTGTAAAATTGTTTTTAAAAAGATCTAAAAGAAACTATCGGTAATGATATAATTTGAAGCCAACATCAGTACAATACTTGCTGTTGTATTTATCTTCTATGTAGTATTCATGTAATCCATGGTCATATTAAAATTAAGCAAAGTAAGTTTTTGAATTTTGCAGGTTACTTCAGAAAGATAAAATCTCCAAAAAGAAATGGGTTTGCTTTGGAAACATGTTCATTAAAATGCCATCAAAAGAAACAAAGAAACTCCTTGAAAAAGGTAAGCCTTGCTTCTAACCTATAAATACATACATAGACAGGTGTAGTTGTAGGCACATAGGATTCGACCAAATTACAGACAAACATTAGAATCCAGGTTTTAAAAAGTTATCAAACATATTGAGCTTTGTATTTTTCAATTTCAAGGCCCAGGTAGATTATTTAATGAAGCATCCTCTGTTTCTGTTTCATAAAACTTTTTAAACAATTGTTTTGATAGCTTGTTCAGAAGTATTCATTTTAAACTCTTAGAGTTATGTCCCTTTCAGCAACTTGTCCATCATTATACATGTATAATACAGAACATCAAGTTATGATCCATTTAAAATTAAGATATAAAGGCTAGTTTTATATTAAATCTTAAAATTTTTGCTTGTTGCTGAAGAAAAAATCCTCTAATATACACAACAGATCAAATGGAATTGCTAACAGAATTCAGTTAAGGCCTGTAGCAAAATGTGTCTTATTTACACTTAATTACACAAATACCTCATTAAATTGTGTCTCATACACTTTTACAAGGTATTCATTTACTATTTTTAACAACAAATATTTATATCTACAAAATTTCATATGTCAGTAATCACTCATTTCTCAAAATTTAGGGTTATATAAGGTCAATCTAAAAATTTAATGAATTGTAAATTCCATTTTATAATTTTAACAGAATATTATTGAAACTAATATTGTTTGAGACAGAGCTCCAGTTCGATCTGTTTTGCTTTGCAAAATAATAGTACAAAGGCTAAAAATTCATAGCATTGTATCTTGATCAATATGTAAAAATAGGTAAATGACATTCTGATAGTCAGTAAATTTCATCTCTGACATTGCAGGTCAATCTTTTTTCCCCAAGTAGGCTTTGAATTCTCTGGTATATAAAACAATAGCATAAAATAAGTTTTTCTGAAAAATGGGACTTGTAAATTCACATGTAAGAGGCATAGAAAAATATGAAAAACCATATGCTTTAGTATTGGTCTTATAGGACATGGTTGAAAATTTATCTTTGACATGGTTGAAGACACTGAGAGACATAAAAAATATATGTAGGAAAAGTTCATTGAATATTATTAGCCAGAAAAAGTGTGAAGTCTGCATGAATCAGATGGATACCTCTACTAATTATACAAAATAAAAAAAAAAGGGGGAAATAAGCAAAACTTTATTAAAGTTATGAAAAAAAAAAAAAAAAATGCTCTCTCAAAATCATGACAATGTTGTGTAGGATGTTCATGTATGCTAGACATTGTAATCTTCACAAATAAGTGGTGCATCATTCTTAAAGCTCTACTACCTGGCCTGAACTTTTGCAAAAGTAAGGAGTCTGTTGCTCATTTCTCAGTCTGTTTGTTTCATTATTAATTTTTCAAAAACGGTAATCCTACTTTCAATAAAACATGCAACACAAGTATACTATATTATACTACATTTAGACACCAACTGCTTTAATTCCAAGTGCTACTTTTCCCTTCATTTGTTGTAAGCATAAACCAGAAGAGCTACAATCGAGTCAGACCTTATTTTTACCTATTAAATGTATTGCAGATAATTCTTTACCAAAGGATTATCACAATTTTTTTAGTCAGTTTGATTTTTAGGTCACCTGAGTAAACTCAGTAAGGTTTAAGTGAGAGTAAGAGTAAACTCAGGTGACCTATTGCTATCTGTTTTTTTCCGTCGTCGTCCGTTGTGCGTTAACATTTGAACATTTTCAGCTTCTTCTCTTCAACCGCTCAACTAATTTCAACCAATTTTGGCACAAAGCATCTGTGGGTGAAGGGAAACAAAAATTGTGAATTGTGGGACTTTAATGATTATACTGTGAAAATGCATGAATTCTTTGGAAATCTTTTCCTTTGCTCCTGGGTATTATGCCAATGATCTAGGTACATATTTATGATGAAGAAAGGTGCCTCTTCCAAAATGGTTCATTTCGGGGCCCTGGGTTAGGGGTACCACAGGGAGGGGGGGTACACAGTCTGAAAATAAAGTAATGCATTGAAGTCTGTTCTTTGGTATTAATAAATCATTTATGTTGAAATAAAATTTAAATTTAAGATAAAATTTCAAAAATTTTGAAATATTTGGCCCCAGGGTCAGTGGTTCCTGTGGGTTGGAGTGCACAACTGGTGGTTATAAAGTGGAAATGCATTTTCTCTTTGTTACTCTAATCTACCTCTGGGTATTAAGTAACCAGAGGAAGTATGCTGAGTGTAAAGTTATGATAAACAATGGTGCCTTTTTTAGAATTATAAATTTCATGGCTTTTGGCAAATTCAATTGTTGGAAAGTTGTTACATGATACTCAGGTGACCTATAAGGCCTGTGGGCCTCTTGTTAGAAAAAATGATCACTTTTCAAAAAAAACAATTGGATAAAATCCTCTCCAAGAAATTGGAGGATTTTTAGAGGAAATGAACGCTTATCCCAAAAAAATTTGGATAAAACCTTCGCCAAGAAATTAACATGCTGGCAAGCAATACATAGATCTTTTTTTTTAAAGTGGACAGATTGGTTTAAATAGTATACACTGCAAACAAAGCACTATTGATGCCAGACAATGAATATAAATCACTGTTCAATAAAGTACTAAAGGCTGTAAAGGGGAGCTCATTTGTAAGTCAAGGAGAAGTTAAAGGGGTCAGAAACAAAAGTGGTTTTGTTCTGGAGAAAGTCTGTAACTTCAATAGGAATAAATGAATGAGGCAGATTATAAGAAAATATGACACCCTTTTCTTGACCCTTGCTGCATTATGCATTATTCTTATGAGAAGATTGAAATAAAAAGGAAACATCCCAGTCAGAGAATAAAGCATGATGCAGATGTACATACTTGTTTGATTTAAGCTGGAAGGTATGATATTTATGTGAAAATAAAGTTATGTTGTGATTTTGAATGTTTTATGCCCCCGCAGTCATAGATTCAAGGGTAGAAAAATATATAGTTTTTATTTTTTATAATTGATAATTTATATATAGTGTGTTTGTATCAAAAAACTTTAGCCTTGCACATTTTTTTCATTACCTTTGCAAATATGAATAGATTTACTTCTTTTCATATTCTTTTAAATATTTAAAGAAAATTTTTGCTTTAAAAGTTAAATATTTATTGTTAATTAACAAATTACCAAGTACAAATTATACGGCGCACCCTGAACAAAATGAGGTGGGGATACCAATAAATTGTGTATGCGTGGCTTCTTATTTTGCAAAATCTATATAAATGTTCTAATAATTATTTTACTGAAAAATCTAGGCCTTTTCTTAATGGTCTAAGATGTTGTAGATTTTTTTTTCTTCAAAGCTAAGTCACACAGCTGGAGATCATATATAACTTGACCAGGTGTCATTTTCCTATCCGTTTTTACTTAGTTACCATCTCTCTACATGCGTTGCTCCTGCCTTGTGTTAACATTGTGTTTAACATTTTTTCTTCTCTGCCTTCTTCTATACTGACAAATTATCTTTTCCTTAAATTTAAACAGCTTTTATTGCCGATTTTTTTCCATTCTTCACATGGCGTTTTTGCTATAAATAGCGACACGCGACTTTTAATACAGACGGGCCAATAACTCTAAAACTTTGAATCTTTAAATTCTTACTGAATAAAAATACATGAAAATACCCAAAAATCAAAATAAAAAACATGTTGGCGGGACATTTTGAGAGGGGCATTGAGTCCTCTACCAAAATTAATTTTATATGGCCTGATCTTGAATGTTTTATGCCCCCGCAATCATAGATTCGAGGGTAGAAAAATATATAGTTTTTGCCCTGTCTGTATGTCTGTCAGTCTGTCTGTGTGTTTGTCTTAAAAAAACTTTAGCCTTGCCCATAACATTTAGATAGGTGAGACTATCTTTCTTTGAGTACCACCAAATTTGACCTCTTGACCTTGGAGTTTGATCTTCTTTTACAAAAAAATATCAAACTTTAACCTTGGCTATAATTTTTGAACAGTTAGTGCCAGGGCTTTCATACTTCACATTGGTATTCAATGTGACAAGACCTTTCAATGGCTATAAATATTTTTGACTTTTTGACCTTGAACTTAGAGTTTGACCCACTTTTTAGGTCACCTGAGTAACTCAGGTGAACACATAGTTATCGATGAGCAAGAGTACCTCTGTGTTAACATTTGAACATTTTCAGCTTCTTCTCTCCAATTTCAACCAGATTTGGTATACAGCTTTATGGGTGAAGGGGAACATATATTGTGAATTATATAGTCCCCGCATGGGGCCTGAGGGGTGGGGCCAAAACCACTAAAAGTATTGCAATCTTTAAAAATCTTCTTCTTTACTCCTGGACATCAAGCAGGCAAACTGTTGGCATGAATGTAATGAGCATTGAGTCCTCTACCAAAATTGTAAAATTCATGGCCCCAGGGTCAGGGGTTCTAGTGCTAGGGCAGGGCTATATAGATTATATAGTGAAAATGCATTATTTCTTTTAAAATCTTCTTCTCTGCTCCCGGGTATTAAATAAACTAACTAATTACATAGTTATAATGAAAAAGAGTGCTTCTTCCAAAATTGTGAATTTTATGGCCTCAGGGTCAGGGGTTCTGGTGTTATGGTGGGGCTCCATTGATTATATAGTGAAAATGCATTTATTCTTTGAAAATCGTCTTCTCTGCTTCTGGGTATTAAATAAACTAACTAAACACATAGTATGATGAGCAAGAGTGCCTCTTCCAAAATTTTGAAATTTATGTCCCCAGGGTCAGAGGTTCTGGTGTTAGGACGGGGCTCTATTGATTATATAGTAAAAATGCATTTATTCTTTGAAAATCTTCTTCTCTGCTTCTGGGTATTAATTAAACAAACTAAGTACATAGTTATGATGAGCAAGAGTGCCTCTTCCAAAATTGTGAATTTTATGGCCCCAGGGTCAGGGGTTCTGGTGTTAGGGCGGGGCTCTATTGATTATATAGTGAAAGTACATTAATTCTTTGAAAATCTTTTCCTTTGCTCCTGGGTTTTATGCCAATGATTC